ATCATTGGCTTGCAAATCAATTAGTTCCATCTGAAAAAATGTTACTTGCATCTTCTGGTGCTGCTTCAAATGGATTCTGAAATATTCTTATTTCCTTTCCATGCTTTTGGCAATCAGTGAGTCTTTTCCTGAAATCTACCTGCAATAGGTTCAGTACTCTTGATGTGTCTTTCAGCCCTGAATTGTAAATTCCTGTCCTCAAATTTTAGTCAATGGCAGCATGAGATGTTTGAAAAGTTACCTTTACTAACTTGTTTCACAAAAATGTTTAGTTTTGCTTCAATAGCATTCAATTCAGAATACATGTCACACAACATTCCTTCCCTTGCAACCTTAGATTCAGTGTGTTCAAATGTTCTGTGATATCAGTTAAGAAAGCCAAATCAAAAATCCATCCAAGGTCAGAAAGTACTTCTTGACCTTTTCCATTCTCCTTGAGAAAGACATCAACTTCATGATGATCACTGAAAAAACATTTGAGGACTTTGCCTCTGCTAAGTCACCCAACTTCTGCATGGTACAATACATCTCCATATTCTGTATCTATGTCTGAGAGAAAATTTTGAAACTGATGATGAGTAAGGCCATGATGACTGATGTAATTAATGCTGAATACAACAATCCACATCACACTTTCCCACTGCAGATTCTTACTACACAAGGCTTGCTGATGGATAATGCAGTGAAATTGCATGGGAAGTTTACCATTTAATTTCAATGTAATTTCATCGATTCTTGCAACTACACCAGTTTTACTTCCTACCATATTTCTTGCACAATCAGTGGTGCTGCTTTTCAATTTATTCCAACTTAGATCAAGATTTTCTACTGATTTACATACCTTCAAGAATGTTTTCTGCAGCTGTAGTGCCTTTCAAACTCTGTAGTACACACAACTCTTCTGTAATTCTGAAGTTGGAATCTATCCCCCTGATAAAAATCAGTCATTGAGCAGTGTCTACAATGTCATTGCTCTCATCAAATGTCAAAGAAAAAAAAGCAAAACTTTTTGCCTTGACAATCATGAAATATGCCACTCTTCTCCTAGTTCTTCAACACGCCTGGTGATTGTAGATGAAAATACATTGATAAAACTAACACAAGATACCTTATTAGGATACATTTCCTCCATTACTTTAACTATGCACTTTTTAACATATTCACCATCAGTAAACGGTCTACCATTCTTGGCCATAGATTTAGCAACATGATTGCTAGTCCCCACAGTAGACAGCTTCTCCTCCACATGCTTTGTAAAACTGTTTTGCTGCAAAACCACTGATGAGAGTCTTTATCTTGTTCACTCACACCTCTCCTTGACATATTGAGTAGCTCTTGTGACAGGATTCAAAGTGCCTTTTAACATTGTACTCCTTTCAAGACATACCAGACAAACTGTTTTATCCTTGTTTAAAACAAAAAAAGTCCTCAGTAGCCCTTTCGTCATTAAAGACACGATGCTCATCTGCAATTTTTTGTTTCTTTGGAACAGCACTTTCTTTTGTAGACATCTTACAGAATTTTTAGCAGACCAGTAGTTGAAGTTTCAATATAATCCTTGAATAAATAAAAATAGTAGTATAGTTTTAGGGGCCCAACTCTTCCCTTTCCCATCAAATCCACCCCACTCTAGCTGTTATTAGCTGGGGATTTTCATTTTGACCATGGCAAAAAAGAGAAGAGACCCCTGCCTCCCTATCCACTACAGTTCTCAGGAGTATTGAGCCATATGCACAGGATAGGAAGATTTTATTTAAAAATGGATTATGAATTTGACCTAACAAATGGCAGAGTTGCAATTCTAAGTACATTGAATACTATGAGATGTATTTCTTAATAAACACACTGCCTTGAGGTTTAAATCTACACATCCTAATACTTTAAAAACTAGCAGCCCTCCAAAAAAAGGACAGGTAGAGAGAAAGAGCAAATGAAAGGGCAGCCTCCCAACTGAAGCAGAAGATATGCCATCAAGTTAGCTTCAAATTATATGGGTGCACATACACATCACTGCCTATCAGCCAAGCCTTGATCATGAGAAGCAAAATGACAGCCAGGGGGAGGGGAACTTGGCTGGAAGATGATGTGGGAAGGGGAATCCCATAAGCTACCCTGCTAAGAGATACTTCTTCCCTCTCAACCCAAGGTACCACTCACTGGCTCCTACAATCACAGATGCATGTGAAGACTCCTAGCTCGAATGGATTAGGGAGGAGAGGCAGAAGCAAGTAAGGCAAGAAGTCAGAGCAACCAGCTTTTGTTGAGGAAGGAAGAATGCTTTTGCCTGTAGCAACAACCTCATCAATAACCTTGGAAGTCACTTGAAGGAGCCTTGATGGGTGGAGCCTCTAAAAATGTTCAGTATGTAAAACACTTTGTACTTTTGTTTTGCAAAATTACCAGCCCTTTTACTGTTCTTTTCTCACCTGTTTTGCAAAAGCAGGCCAGAAATCTCCTGTACCCATTCACAGCTGTTTTACCTTCCTTACACACATATATAGCCTTCAACATGGTAATGCATAGAGAGAGGGAGTGAAAAGCTGAGTGGTACAGGTACCTGAGCTTTGCTGGCTAGCAAAGCACCCAGAATGGCAAAATGCTAGTATGGAGGATAAGACGAAGAGGGGCTGACAGAAGGAACATGGAGACCAGAAGAAATAATATTGCTATTGCATTTTTTTGCAAGAAAGGGACAGGAAGAACAGCAGTAGGCAGGAAGAACAGGAAGTGTGGGTCCAAGGGAAAATGCATTGAGGGTGATAGCAGCAAACAGGCTGGAGGGCAGCACAGAAAGAGCTTGGGAGCTCCATATGGCCCGCAGGTTTGGGACCCCTGCATTAGACTGTTCTGTACACCTGTGGATGTTCAAATGTTGTTCTCAAACTATGTGACAATGTACATAAGAGGCCATTAGGTCACATATTTTTAAGGAATACTGCGACCAGAGAATTCTGAAACAATTACTAACAATGCTCCCTCTAAACTGTGGAGTCTTGTATGCAAACATTCTACTTTGTGAGCTACTGGCAGTTGTGAATGATTTGGCTTCTGGACAAATTAGTTTGCTCTGGAGCCATCCTTCCTGAGCTAAAACAAAAATGTGTGAGCCGGAGGCTAAAAAACTGTGAGCTAGCTCACACTAACTCAGCTTAGACGGAACACTGGTTACTAATATGTACTTCAGTACTGATTCAAGAAAATACATAGTCAATTGTTAATTCAAACTGACTGCACTATAAAGACAGTTAAAGAACAGCTTAAAAAGTACTGCTACTACCAAACTTTTTCATAAAAGGAAACAAATCTGTCTAAATATAATCCAACTATTGCAACTGCTTTATAGTTTTAATTTGTGGGATAGCTGCAGGCATTTATTTTGTTTTGAAATTTGATGTTCTGGTCACACCACCTCATAAAAGATATTATAACATTGGAAAAGGTGCAGAAAAGAACAACTAAAATGATTAATGGGATGGAACATGTTCCCTATGAAGAAAGGCTAGAGGTTAGCCTCTTTAGCTTGGAGAAATAATGATTGAGGGGTGACATGATAGAGGTTTACAGAATTATGCATAGGATAAAGAAATGCTTTTCTCATTTTCTTGTAAAACAAAAACTCATGGGAACTCAATGAAATTAGTGAGCAGTAGGCTTAGAACAGATAAAAGTCCTTCACAGTAATTAACACACAGAATTCACTGCCACAGGAAGAGGTGGCAGCTACAAGCATAGACAGCTTCAAAAGGGGACTGGATAACTATATAGAGCAGAAGTCTATCAGTGGCTATTAGCCACAACTTATAGATGGAACACTATGTACAATAGAACAAAGTTAAGATTCCAGTGGCACCTCTAAGACCAACAAAGTTTTATTAAAGGTGTGAGCTTTCATGTGCCACTGGACTCTGTTCTATTGTTTGAGACCAACATGGTTGCACACCTTGATATGTCTGGGGCAGTGATGCTCTGTATTCTTGATTCTTGGGGGGCAGCAGTGAGACGGTTGGCCATGCTGGTGGACCTCCGGATGGCACCTGGGGTTTGGCCTCTGTGTGACACAAAATGTTGCACTGGATGGGCCACTGGCCTGATCCAACATGGCTTCTCTTATGTTCTTATGAAATGGAAGTGGTCCTCTTTTCTCTCCAAAAGGCAGATACATAGAAATCTTGGTCATATAACTCTCAGGAAAAGCATGAACAATAATCAAAGAATAACTTGCAAAAACTTGCAGCACTGTCAGCATTTTCAAATGCTGTCATTTATTCACAAGTCACTGTAAATACAAGTTACTGTAAGCTTAATGATATATTGTGAATATAAGTCAGAATATAACCCTAAAACTGCTTGCTCCACAGTCTTCCAGATACAGCTCCAGAATGTTAGTGTGAAGACAGGTGTTTGTGTTGGCTTAAACATTGTTTGGGTTAGCTTTTAAACATTGTTTTGTAATAGCTGTCCCAAATCAGATTAATGTTCTCTAAGTTTCACAACTGTCCTGCACTCCTTCATAAAGAACAATCACATTGTTATGTAAATAGCTACCCAACCAAAAAGTGGCTATAGATGAAAACACACACACAAAACCCAACCTGTGAAAGTGGAAAGGTAGTTTTGAAACAGTTCACGAGAACTAACCTGCTATCAGTGAAACCCTTCTAAATAATGGACTGCAGTTACAAATTGGAGAAACAGAATAATAAAATTACCTAAAAAGAATTTTTTTAAAGTTCCCTTTAGAAGTATTCCAGTTTAATAATCCCATAATAATATAGCATTTTTCATTATATACAATTAAACAAAATATTTTGTTATGTACACCCCTGAGATTCAGGATTTGTGAAATTTAAAATAAAGGTTTTTACATTAAACCCTTAAATATACTAGGTAAATATTTTCTTTATCAAGATAAACAATTTTAATTTTAGCATAAAGAAAACTATTAACAAGTGCAAATTAAAGACCAGCAACAGATATAAAGTTTTCTAAACAGTAGTACCAGCTTTGACACTGTCATGGAGGAACTACTCTTGAGAGAGTCTCACACAGTATTCTTTATAGATCTCTTGCATCAACCAGAAAGATAGACATATGCAGTCAACAGTAGCCTCATATTCCTATTACTCTTTCTTCCCTCAGCCCCTCTCCCACTCCCAGGAGGAGATGAGGCAACTTTAGGCAGAGAAGAACCTGTCCTAATTTTACATTCTTTGTTTTGTTTGTGAATGCTTTGATTCATTTAGTTCCACAATGCTTTTCAGTGCAGGAGAACAGCAGCAGGACAGGAGAAGGAAGACTTATAGAAGGAAAGAAAATGAAGAGTGATTCCTCATTTTTCATCTATTCGCTTTTCACTTGTGGGGTGGCAAATAATGTGCCATTTGTACCCTCCAGGATGCTAAAATCTACCCAACAACAACAAATTAGACATAATATTTTGGCTTGTCATCCAGTCAAAAAGTCTGACTCAAGAAACAGAAGCAAACAACTCTTTTGGATGCTCAAGTATTATCATGTATTGTATTTTCCTTGGCCAACAGACTTTCCTCCTTCATCCTCCTCAGAATCTGTGAGGTTCAACCAAGGCAAGCTCCTGGAGTTCTTGTTGCTCATATTTTATGCATGGTTTTTCTACAGGGGTCCCAGGTTCCAAGGCAGTCTGACCAACAATTCTTAGATGCACAGACTTAATTTTCCATGTGTTCTCCCTAAATGGGCAGCGGATGAGGCCAAAGAATTGCTCAAAGATGCCCAAGCAACAAGTATTTCTATGAACTGTGCCAGCTACTGCCACCACAACTATCCCATGCCGTGAAACTACACACTTCAGGCCACCAGAATTCAAATTGGGATTGAGGTACAGGTATTCTTCTTTCACCAACGACAGTAAACGAAGGCTCACCAATTCTGCACCTGAATATTCTTCAACGTTTTGTTCTGAGGTGTTGTAACAAAACCTTAGTACTACATCATCCCAGAAGTGCTGCGGCCCCCATTCTTCAGGTGATTTTGCATACAATGGATTTTGAGAATTCAAAATAGCAAAAAACCACTGACAAAATTCTTCTCCCAAGCTGTGACACTCTTTGTTGCCTTCTTGTTTGTTGCCTTCTTGTTTGTCTCCTCCTGGTTTTCCTCCACCTTGTTTCGCTTCCTCTTCAGGTATCTGCAAAACAAAGCAAGGCCTTTTATTTTAGAAGTAACAAAAGGTGTGTTGGATTCTTTCCATAAAGAACTGCTTAATGATGGGTCAAAAAGATCACAAAAATTCAACCGAATCTGGAACTACAGCAAACAAGAGAGGTGCCATCTGTTTAGAAACAGTGTGTGGTTGTATGTATCATTTGAAGGGTTCTGTAAATGTCTGTGTAATAGTTACCTTACTGACAGTCACTTTACTGGCAAAAAAGAGGTCTCTGTTTTTCTATTTTATGCCAACAAGAGCCATTTGATAGCTTGAATTGTTAGTTATTACCCAAAATAATCCCAATAAAACTTTAGCGCAATTTGTAGAGGCAATCTGTGGCCATAATTCACAGACAAACAAACAACAGTACTCCTGACTGTTCCATGTATGTAGGAATTTTTGTATGAACAAAGAGATTAACTTGATTAGCTGCTTCAGTTCAACAGATGAGGCAGGTGACAGAGACAGGGCTTTTTGAATGGTGGCACCTCATCTATGTACTGCTGTCCCCTAGAAGTCTGCCTGATGCTTATTGGCTTAGAAGAAAAAGAGAAGAAGAGACTGGATTTATACTCCGTCCTTCACTCGGAATCTCAGAGCAGCTTATTTATTTATTTATTTATTTATTTTATTTATACCCCGCCCTCCCCGCACGCGGGCTCAGGGCGGCTTACAAAGGCACAAAAGTGCAATAAAAATACAACAGGTTAAAACAATTAAGGCACAAAAGTGCAATAAAAAGTAAGCAAGTTAAAACAATGTAGGCAAAAATGCACATCTCACAGGATACATAAATGACTAGAATACTCACTCCCTATTGCATAACACGTTGGGATCTAAAAAGGGGGGATGCCATGGGCCACGATGTTCAACTGGCCAGTCAGCCCAGCCCGGCAAAACTGCTCTGCAGTCGCACGATGGTGGTAGTGGTGGCGGCGGCTCCTATTCAAAAGCCTGGCGGAAGAGCTCCGTCTTGCAGGCCCTGCGGAACTGTAAAAGGTCCCGCAGGGCCCTGATCTCCTCCGGGAGCTCATCCACCAGGTAGGAGCAGCCACCGAAAAGGACCTGGCCCTTGTGGCAGCAAGCCTGGCCTCCTTGGGGTCCGGGGTCACTAGGCGGTGTTGTGACCCTGACCGAAGTGCTCTTTGGGGCCTGTATGGGGAAAGGCGGTCCCTCAGGTATGCTGGCTCCCCACAACAGACATCCTGTGAGGTAGGCGGGGCTGAGAGAGTTCTGAGAGAACTATGGCTTGCCCAAGGTCATCCAGCAGTTACAAGTGGAGGAGTGGTGAATCAAATCCAGTTCTCCCAGATTAGAGTCCACGCACTTAAACACTACAACAAACTGGCTTTAGCTGACAGGTCAAGACATTTATTTGCCCAGGCTTTAGCTGAGCTTTTATCCTGACCATATTTGCTTATATATTGGTCACAGATTTTGGCTATTCCAAATTCTTACCTAATCAACTATAGCTTGGATTTTGTTAGTTCTATTGTTTAGAAAAGTTTGATTTTATAGGTTCTCCCACCCTTAAGTTTTTGCTGGTGGTTTTGAGCGGTTATTCTGTCATACACTGTGGATTGTTTTATCATTGTTAGTCTGAGTTGTTATTCAGTTATGTTAATTGTTATTTTATGGTTTATCATCTGGTACTGTTATAAGGTGCATCAGGCAGCTCTGCCCTGGAGAAAATATCTTAACAGTTGAAATTTGTCTCCTTTTGAATAGATCATGATGTCAGGAATAGATACTGCCTTTATGAGATATTTTAAATCATAGTGAAATTAAAGAATATAAATAATTCAGAAAGCATTTGATGCATGGGCACCACAGCTATCACCACTGACATATGCAAATCTGGCTCTGTTTGTTACTGATATGATATCTATTAAGATTTTGTGGGTCACTTCTGCAAAAGAGAGACACATCAGTAAGATATCAAAAAGAATATCCATCTTTTAAAAGCCTTCACCAGACCGCTAGATCTGGAATATTCAGAAACACAGACCATTAACTTGATAACCTCTAAAATTACTCTCCCAGAATAGAAAGTGACAATAAAGTGAAACTCCACACAACAAACAAACTTGAAACACTCAGCTTTCCAAATCTGGCAAGATGCCAACTGTGAATGATATTAAGCAAGACTTCCATACAGCAATCCAGACTGAAACTGTATTGGAGGGGGGTCTCTTTTCACAAGTGTTCCATCCTGTTAAGAGGATTTTGTTCCAAAAGAAAAATATATGGCTACCCTCAGCCCTTTCATATCACCCTACTGAATACACTACTTACGCAAAATTCTTTAAAAGACAGAAGAAATTATATTATAATTTTATTTATGACATGTTGTGATCCACTCTGAGCCCCACGTTAGTGGGGGCAGAGTGGGATACAAATTGATTAAATAAAAATAAGTTTGAGGAGACAAATAATACTGTCCACAGTGTTCCAGGCTGACTGGAAGAAGTTGGGGCAATCATGCTTAAAAGTCCTGCCTTTCCTCCAGGGCTCTGCACCAATCCTTGTGTAGGAAAGCAGCAACCTTGGACATGCTGAGGTAAAATGTCCAGACAAAAGAGAATCAAGTCTCCCTTCAGGGTTTATTTACTTTACTTGTGAGCCTGTTTTACTATATATATATTGAAGTCATCCACCCAACAATTAAATTCTGTCTACACCTCCATTTTAAGAACAACTGTAATAGTCATTTATCTCATATGCGAAGTCCCAGTCATTCATGTGGCTAAACTATATAGAAAAGAAAATTATTTCAATAGGGATTAGTCTTGATGATTTATTTTCCTTGCCAGAAAATTCAGCCTATATCCTGATTAAACAAAGACTCCTAGATACTGAGATGCAAGATTTAAGGAGCCTGGCTAAAGGTAGTTGTTCACCTTTGAGGTTAGGGATTTTCCCACAAGGGTCCTTCGCAGGGTATTTCTCTTGTTTAACTGTCTTATATGTTAGCTCACTTTAATATATTATCTTCTGCAGTACTGTACGGGAGATTTCAGAAAATTTCGTACTCTAATAGGCTCTGTTTTTGGACTGCACAAAGTAGAAAGCCTTGAACAAGTTTTCTGGTATTGTACTTATTACCTTAATATTTGATCCTCACTTATTGAACCTTGGCTGCAAGTTCAAGAAGGGCAACATGATGAAGGAAAAATTCTTTATCTATTATCCACTCAAAATCCAGCGATTATTGAAACTGGCCAAATTTTTACATTTTGCATCTAAAAGGTGAGAAATGTATCTGAATGCTATGGCTAATGAAAGATGGTTGTTATTTGGGTGTTGTTATGCCAATAAAGGTAAAGTTTACAGTTAAAGTCATCCACCCATAATATTTACCTTATTATAGACTATTATTTTCTGTTCAATAAATCTTTGTTGTTCATCTCAATCTGGGTCTTATTTGTTGAGTGTCAAGTGTCCAAGGAAAAGTGATCTCTATTTATCTCACATATAATTACAGATTAGATCTAGCAGGTTTCCAAATAAGAGATTCTAAGGGAATGCATAACTTACATGCTATCAATCCCAAAGCTTGTGCCCCCATTTTATTTGATTCTGAACAGTTGGGGTTTAAAAAAAAACTATCAGAGAGGCCAGAGTGGGGGACTGAACATTCCTCAGTCCAGAAGGCAGTTGTCTCAGAGTCTTCCCTGCTCCATCTCTCACCCCACAGCTGCCACAGAAATGAGTACAGGTTAGTGAGCAAGTGATTCAAATGACAACAAACAGCTAAGAGAAAGGTTCTCCTAACACTTCAGAAGACTGATTTTGTTTCAGAATAAAAACACCTGCTGTACTAAGGCAGCAGTTAAATGATCCAATGCAACTGAGTCTTTCCAGCTACCAGCAAAGAACCAAACAGCTCGCAAAGTTAAGGTGATATTCAGATCTTAGCCAGGCTTACCTTAAGCAACCATTTATTGAACTAACCACAGTTAGCACAGCAGATGCATAAAACTAACCAGAGCCTGCTCAAAAATCACAGCTTGTTTGCAGAAAGTAAGAGCTGACTGCAGCAGGAGAATAACAGGATTTTTTAATGCTCTGCAACAGCAACTCTGCACCTGCCGAGCAAACTAGTATTAAAACAGGACTCCTGGGTTTAGATGTAATGACTAATTAGAGTAACTACAAGTTCCAATTAATCCCAGCTTGTGGATCTCTTATCTGCATGGATCTGTGAAGAGGCCAGCAGTGTAATGCAATGTATGAATCCAGGCAACCTATGCTTCCTACAATACTTGAACTGGGAAATTCAAACCCTAAACACTCTCTTTATACACACACACACAACCAGTTTAACACAAAAACTCTGTCACAATTTTCTCTAATAGTGGAAGAGACAGCAGTATCTTCTGGATTCACGCAGCCAGATGGATGCAGACTTAATTATCAGCAGCTGAGAGAATGGTTGGGATTTATTTGATTTTTATTTATTTATACTTTAAATTTATGAATCCCCCAACTCCTGAGCACACAGGGCTCTGGGCAGTGTACAACAGAAATTAAAAACATCAGCATAACATTATTAAAATTAATCATTCAGTCTTTCCTATATTATTAAATAATCTCCAGATGGCATCACTAATTTAGTCTTAGACTCGCTTGTGCTGCTGTCTTGCGGGCAGGGCGCAAAGGAGGGTGAAGTGAAAAGATGGAAGGAAAGAGGAGGGTGCCAGCCATGATGGAAACCACTGCTGTCCAGCCCAATTAGTTCTCTGCCATGCCAAAACAGAACCTGAACAGCTACATGCTGAAACCAGCAATAAAAGAATGAACAAGCAACAGTTGCTTTTCAAAAGAATGTAGCAGATGTTCAGGGCTTGCAAACAATCAGGCTTACCTTTATATTAGGCTTTTCACATTTTAACCCTGTGCCACGATCCTGCAAGTATTCACACCAATAGTGTTTTACATAATTAACAAGTTGATGCTTCTCAGAAGAAGGAGGCACTATAATGCCTTTTGATGCCAAGTACTTGAAGATTGTATCTCTAAAGACCTTCTTTCTCTTCAGCAGTTCTTCTGTACTTTGACTGTACAGTAAGATGGCACGTATGGCTTCTGGAAAAAGAGAAATTCAAGTCAGAAACAATTCCCCCATGAAAGCAGCTTGTTGAAGCAAGCTCCTCAGATGATAAAACATCTCTAACTGAGGAGCCACGTTCTCAGGTTGTAGCATAGGAATGTCCCTAAGACACTATGCAAGCAACAAATGGAAACATTTAATTTTAAAACCTGGTGCTTGAATTCAGAATTATTCAATCATCATTCAGGTTTCTTTCCCCAAAAGAGCTTTTATTTTTAGTCTCAGGGTAAACAGCAAGATCCCCCCCCCCAGTAACCAATTGCTGTAATAGCAGTATGTATTTTCCCATCTTGATTTGAAACATATACTTAGGCACAGGTAGATCACCCTTGAGAAAAGCATTTTATAGATTTCAAGGGCTTCCTGGCAGGAAATCACAGATGATCATAACCAAGTAGTATCTCTGAATACTACCACAGTGAAGTAAAAATATGTCTTACCATGTCTTAGAATTCTCTAAGCCAGTATATACAGAGGTTGTAGTGCATTTCAACTATTGCTTAGATACTATCATTTATGGCCTCGGTCACACGGGCCGGATATCGCGGGGGGGGGGGGGGGGCGTCTGTTTGCCCTGGAGCGAACTACCGTGCGGCAGCCGGATCAAACGTCCCGCCCGACGTCCCATGGTTGGGGGGAGGTGCCGATCTTACCTCACTCCTGCGGCGCGGCAAAGAAGCGGCGCCGTGGGGGTTGTGTTGTTGTTTTTAATCCAAGTGTTCGCATGTGCCATTGGGTGCTTGTGCGCACCCATGGAGACTTGACAAAAAAAAAACTTTTCGCAACGGGACATGGGCGGGAGCCGGATGCCACGAGCTAACACCGGAAACGTGATCTGACGCCCGCCCTTGCCCCGCACTTTCCAGAAACTAGTACCTCGGAGGTACTAGTTTTTTACAGCACATCTTTGGAGTGAAGCCTCGGGTGAGCCATGGGAGCTCTATGCTTCCCAGATGTGGCACTGTGATCGCACCCAGAAAACCCACCTATCTTCCGTCTCTCTAGTGTGCCTAATGCTCCGTGTGACTGGGGCCTATATATACTATCAATATATACACTTGAGTATTAATATGAACACTACACAAATCCCTCACATTAAAAAAACCTGACAACTGAACAGTGCAATCCTATGAGCATTTTCCTGTGAGTAAGCTCCTTTGAGTAGACTTGAGCAGAACTGCTTATGTTAGCTATCTAAATCTAGTGGAGTGGAGAAAGACAACAGATAGATGAAGCCATGAATAAGAACACATAATGTGCCACTGCCCCAGTGGTCAGCAGAACTGAGAGAAAAATCATGTGAACAGAGTCAGATGTCTCTTCTTTAGTCAAGAGGGTAGAAGCCCCAGCTCCTCAGCAACATTATGATGGATTCCCCATAATTATACTGTGCTGGAATAAAATCCCATATGTTGGGCTACACAGAGACTGCAAGGAAATTCCTCAACTTCTGTCTGTCTACAGTAAGAACATTACTTGTGTGAAAACATTACCTATGTAACTATATATGAAGTCATTACTTGAGTAACAACTACAGACAGCACAATAAGAGGTTTCATCACAATTGCTAACTGAACCTATTAATGTACTGTAGCAACCAAAACTGGCACAGCCTATGAGTTTCATATTCAAGCAAATATCTATACAGTGGCAGCCACTCTCAGTGCCAAAGGAACAAGCCCTTTCTTAAAGCAAACTGCAGCTTCTCTCTTCAGAAGCATAGTAATTGTACTAAGTATTCATTACAAAAAGAATGAAATCACTTCCTTCTTTAGTGGCTTTTACTTTATTGAGGGCAGATGCTGATACTATACAAATCAATATTTCAGAGGGTAGCCATGTTGCTCTCTAGTAGAACAGTAAGTTTTGAGTCCAGTAGCACATCAGAGACCAACAAGAGGGTATGAGCTTCCAAGAGTCAAAGTTCCCTTTGTCAAATAACAGTTTAAACAACAGCAAGTCATGCCCATTATTCCCCACCCATCTTTTGCCAAAAATCAGTACCACTGGCTACCATCTAGTGGGCTAAACACTCAACAAAACTTTTTTTTTTGGTCAGAGAATGGTCCATAGGGCAGGTCTCTTTCCAAATTCCAAGACATTTCAAAGGCAGTTCCTCACACGGAATGAGATCACATGTTTGAAAGGAAAACAGCCTTGCTTAAAGCATACTAGTCCCTGAAGGCAGCTCGTGTACAGTACCTCTCTGGAGGCAGTTTTGGATTTATTTTCAAAATAGAGAGTCTTGCATGAGAGCTTCTCCATGGGCCTTTAGAGGAGAAAAACAGCAATGGGGAGTGAAGATCAATGATACAGAAGCACAGTAAGAGAAATAAAACCGAAGTCTGGCAGCACCCCGAAGACTAACAATATTTACTCAGGCTTTGTGAGCTAGAGTTCATCATCTCCTTTTATTACTAGACTTATTTTATTTTCTGCAACAAACTATCACACTTTACCCCCTCTGGAATTACAGTCACAGTAAGAACCCTCCCCACAGATATATTCAGACAGGACAACACAAGCTGCTCCCTGAAGAAAAGAGGAACCAAGCCAACCAACTTTTTCAACTCCCACCCTAACCCGTGTCAGGGAGAGCGAACGGTCACATATACACCCGCTCATGGGGGCAAACTGAGAGATTCCATTTTGGTGAATGAAGAGAGACGAGGCCCGAGTCCGAACACAGCTGCTGGTGCGCCTCCCTTCCCCTCTCCCCGAAGGAGAGAAGCCCGTCCCCGCCGGGGTCCTTCGCGCCCCGCACTCCCACCTTGGCGATTGTCCGGCTGCACGAGGCGGTTGGTCACTGTGTCGGTTAGGGCGATCAGGTCGTCCGTGTGCAGGAGCTCCAGCAGCTCCTGGCAGCCTTTCTGCTCGCGCTCGCTCATGCCCGCCACGGCCGAAGCCATGATGATGGCGGTAGGGGCGTCGCCTCTTCGAGCGCGAGACAGAGAGCGCTGGCGGCCCACACGCCCACCGCGGGGACAGCCTCCGCCGCAACCCTGGCAACCGGCGCCCACAAGGCGACACGTCTACTTTAACGCTTTAAGCGCTGCTATCACTCCCCTCCCCGCCTTCCACATTTGGCAGCTTTCCAATATGCTGGAGACAGGAGGGCAGTCGAAAGTGGTTCGACGAGGAACAAGGCATGGCCTCTACTGTTCCGTCAGCTTTCTAGGATGCTGTTCTACTCCAGAAGTGGAGCGTTCCCTTTCCGGCCTTACCCGGGGCGGGGGCGTACGTGGCGAGTGACGACCAAAAGATTGAAAGTTCCTATCACCAAAGTGATAGGAAACCCTAGTCTTCTCCCAAAGATGCAGGGATGCGTTTGGAAGTGCCGAAGCCTTTTGAATACCGAGTGAGCGTGCATAGAGACAGGGAACCGCTTTGCTTACGTTTAAACGACAGTTGTTCTTGAACTCCAGGCAGGATTTTGTTTGTTTTTAATAAAAACTTCAAAAAAACGAAGGGATGCCCCCCGGTCGGTGAGTGACTAAAGAAGGGTTATCATATTTTGAAAAGCAAAAAAGAGGACATATTTCCCGACTAACTAGAATCATAGAGTTCGAAGGGACCTCTAGGGTTGCGGTGCTCATCTCCGTTTCAAAGCCGAACAGCCAGCGCTGTCCGAAGACAACACAGGAAATTCACAAATATCTCTCCCCCCCAAAAAAAACACCCAGTGACCCCTGCTCCATGCCCAGAGTGGTGATCAGCATTTCCTGACTGCCTTCTCTGCCTAAATTCACAGAACAAGCATTGCTGTCAGACCCACCCACCCACTGACAACTGACCTTTATTTAATCTACACCAACAGACTAGAATCTTTATAGCCAGCTGATTTTTGTCTTCAGCTGTACCCATCGATGTTAATGTTTATACTGTGTTTTAAATTGTAATTGTATTTATTATAATATGATGTTACCCACCCTGAGCCCGTCCATGGGATGGGCAGGATAATAATAATAACAACAACAGCAGCAGCCTCTGTTTGAAAACCTCAAAAGAAGGAGAGCCCACCATCTCCTGAGGAAGTCCACTCTAACTGTCAGGAAGTTCTTGCTGCTATTTAGCTGAAAATTCTTTTGATTTAATTTGAACCCCTTGGTTCTGTCTGACCTTCTGAGGCAACAGAAAACAACTCCACACCATCCTCTATATGACAGCCCTTCAAGTTGGTTATCATATCACCTCTCAGTCATCTCCTTTCCAGGCTAAACATACCCAGCTCCTTCAGCCTCTCCTCATAGGACTTGGTCTCCAGCCCCCTCACCATCTTCGTTGCCCTCCTCTGAACATGTTCCAGCTGGTCTATATTCGTCTTAAATTGTGGTGCCCAATTTAAGCGATACCATCACTTCACATGATCTGGACACTATATTTCTGTTGATGCAGCCCAAAATTCCATTTGCCTTTTTAGCTACACTGCTGACTCATATTCAGTGTATGGTCCACTAAGACCCCTAGATCCTTTTTGTACATACTACTGCCAAGACAAGTCTCCCCCATCCTATAATTATGCATTTGAATTTTCCTACCTAAATGCAGAACTTTACATTTATCCCCATTAACATTCATTTTATTTGTTGCTGTAGATTTTCCGGGATGTGTGGCCGTGGTCTTGGCATTGTAGAACCTGACGTTTCGCCAGTAACTGTGACTAGCATCCTCAGAGGTATAAATACAGAAAGATGGAATACTCTCTGTATCAAGGTTACCTAATGGTTGATATCCTACCACTCTGCTAACAAAAGTTTGAAGCCTTCCTTTTAGGGAAGAGCCATTTAAGTTGGAGGAAGGCTGCATAGGCTGGAGGAACTTTCTTCAGCTCAAGTTAGGATACTGCCCAGTTCTCTTAATTTCAGGATAGAGATGGGTTGTGAACCCCAAACTTTGTTAGACACTCATGAGGGGGGCTCAGAAAAAGAAAAGTGGTCACAAGGTTGTTTGACTGTGCCATAACAGTCTTGAATTCTTGAGAAATCATGTTCCTTTATGGACAAATTCTCCCAAACCCACTTTTGGAACAAGAGAGAGTGAGAAGGTTTTTCTCACAGCTGCCACTGCAGCAGTCAAATAAATCAATACCAGAGAAAAATTCATGGGGGCTGTACTTCTCACTTCATACTGAGAGCATTAAAAGTTGCCCAGGTTCATATTTCAAACCATGGAAATATAATGTCAGTGATGTAATTACCATTTAAAATTAAATTTTATCATTTTCTGATCATGCAAGAAAAAAGCAGTATTCAAATGTACCAAATAATTCTAAAGAAGTGTTTTTCACAACTATAGTTTGTTAGAAGAAAAACATTTTCAATTTGCTTCAGCCAAACAATATCTAATGCAACACATGGAACTCTTTCTGTTCAATTCTATGTGGAGTCAAAGTGTTTAGCCTGGAGTAACTCTGCATAGGATTGCATGGTTCTTGTGTATTTTCCCTTAAATGTGCATGAGGTTATAGAGTGGGTAAAATCACATTTTAGTATCAGGGTGTGGTCACATGGTTCATTTGATCGGGGTTCGCCGCTGTTCCCTCTCGCATTTACATTTTCCATTCACATGTGCCAATCCGCCTCCCATGCCGAAGCAGGCTCACTCCCGCAATGCTCCCGGGTTTTCCTACCCCTGGGAAAATCAAGTATTTTCCTGGCACTTGCGCTTTGAATGCGCGATTTCGCCCATCTGGACAGCCATCTTTCGCAATGATTGCGATTAGGGCCCTCTGACTGCTCTGTGTGATTTTTTTTAAAACCTTCCAGCTTTGAGTGCTTGAAGTCCTGCTTGGAGAAAAGTCCTGCCTGCCGTCCCCCAGCATGGAGGCGACATTGAAAGTTTCTGGGGGAGGAAGCTGGGGGGCAGGCTGGCAGACGAGCAGGCTTTGGCATCCGCCCCAGGAGTCCCCGAAGCTGCGGCGTTAGGAGGGAAGGAGTGTATATTTATCCCCTCAAAAATGACATTTTAAATTTTTTTTACCACTGTTTAATTTTAGAGAGCACCTATTGGATTTTTTTTATTTCTAATTTTTATTGTAGAACGAAAAAGAGTAAAATGACATAACAGCGCAGTACATTTTGTATTTTAGAATGTACAGAAATGCAATTGATAAGAAGCTTTGGTTAGTTACATTATTCAACGTAACAACAATTTAACATTTTAACAATAGTGCAATTTCAGTAAAAGGTATAACTTAGATCCTGTTTTGAGTATAGCACAGAGTACTTTGGAGTGTCATGAGTGGGAGGTGTCCTTAACACTAAGTCAGATGGGAGTATATTGATAATAAAATCGAATGTATTGTACGCCCTGAGGAAGATTAAGATTCAAAGCCATCTCTGCAGTTGCTTCCATTCTGGTGAGATAAATTCATCGTGTGATAAAAATTCTAGTATTGGGAACCATTTGCTATCAAAGTTCGTTTTGGCCGGTTTCAGAAGAGACCTGTTTATTTTGTCAGTGATGTTTGTCCATCAGGTTAGTTTCCCACATTTTTTGAACCATAATTTCGGGTTGGGGGGGTAAGGTTCCCGCCAGCAGGAGGCAATAGCGGTTTTTGCTGTAGACACCATAATGTCAATAGTTGGTAGCCAATTGATCTGGCCAGTGGTCAAGAAAAAGAGCTTCAGGAGTGAGGGGGAGTGTGACACCTGTTATGACATGAATGTGGTGTAAGACTAGTTCCCAAAAAGCCTGTACCCCATTGCACCCCGACCAGCAATGTGCATAGGTTCCTTGTTGGCAATCTTTCCAGCAGTAGGGTGATATTGTAGGGCACATATGTGAGAGTTGTTGGGGTGTGAGTTACCACCTGGTCATAGTTTTGAGGGTTTGATGTTCCATTGAAATAATAGATGATGTAAAAATCGGGGACTTCCAGAGTTCAGACCACATGGTAGGGCAGAAGACCCGGTGATGTTTCTCTAATTAATAATTGATAGAGGGCAGAGATCAGACCACGGTTACGAGATTCAAAAAGATTTATGATAAGTTCCAGATCTGTGTGTGGTGCCTTCAGGAGGGTAAGTAGTTTGTGTTGGTTGCATGTGTGTTGTAGCTGTAAATAACATACCATGGAATTGATTGGCCTAGATTTGTTTCCAGTTCTGATTTCTGCAGTAAACCTCACCTTGAAGCCACATCACAATACTGTGTAATGTTATGGTCTGTCCAGTTTTTCCTAGATGGTAGCGGCACATTATCAAGGAACCAAGGTTGGTTAATAAAGGTGGAGTACTGGGAGAACTTTGGCATTTTTGGATCAGAGAGGGAGGAAGGGTGATGGGAATTGCTTTGAAGAGAAAAATATATTGGTAGGATAAACAAACGTAGAAGGTTGAAACGTTCCATCCAGGAGATATTGAGCTTGTTCCAGTTTTGAATATCTTAATTCAGTGTGCATGCTCTGGTGGTTTAAGATGATTTTTGTGAGATCTATAGGGAGCTTAATCCCTAGATAGGTAATGTATGTAGATGTCCAACGAAATTTATAGCTTTTTTGCAGATCAGCAATTTCTTTCTTGGGAATGTGTATCGGGACATAAGATTTGGAATTGTTAATGTGCAGACCTGAGAAATGGCTGAAGGAGTCTAAAGTATTGAGAAGTTCTGGGAAAGAGGCCTTGGGGTTGGTCAAATACAGCATCATGTCATCGGCAAATAGAGAAATTTTTATTCCAGAAATGTGTGGGTTAGTCCTGATTGCTTGTGCTAGGGGTTCCACAGCTACTGCGAAAAGCAGCGGGGACAGTGGACACCCCTGTCTTGTACCCCTATGTAGTCCAACTGTGTCAGAGAGATTTCCATTTATTTTCAGTTTGGTGGTAGGTTGTGCATAGAGAGATTTGAGTGCGGTGATAAAGCCCATTGCATGGAGCTCGTGAAACAAATATGGGAATTCTAAGGTATCAAAGGCTTTTTCAACATCAAGGGAAAGGTAGAGGACACTTTAGATGATTTGCAATGTTGAAGGAGGTGGAGAGTTTTAACGGTATTATCTGTTAGATCTCTTTGGGGGATAAAACCTGCCTGATCTGGGTGGATGTAGCTTGGGATGATATTGGTTAAGGCGTTTTGCCAGCATAGATATGAATATTTTAAGGTCCTGATTTAATAAGGATATAGGCCTGTAAGATGCTGGGTGAAGGGGGTCCCTGTCTTTTTTATGT